GGCCAACAGAGTAAAGATAACACTGAAAAGGAAACACTTGATTTCATGTATTCTAAGCTGTAGAACTTGGATGGTAATAAAAATAGATAAATTGTAATGGGTGTTGAGTAGTGGACAGGGAGTCAGAAATAATGCCTCTGCCACTGGTTTAACTAGGGCACCCTTTTGGGAAGGTGGTGTGGTATGGGGGGGAAGCTACAGATGCGCACACCAGGATGCTGCTTGCTTTTCTTCCCCTTCCCCTGATGATCAGGGAGCAAGGGAGAAGTACACATTCCTCTCACTTCCAGCTGGTGAGGGGAAGGGGCAGAGGAGTCAGTGGCGAAAGCAGTGCACTTTCCTCTCGTTCCCTGATCATGAGGGGAAGGGGATGAAGAGCAACCACTACCCTGTTACAAATGGGCTGTTGTTCCCCCTGCCCTCCCAAAATGGTGCCCTTGGAAAGTCCTTTATCTTTATGTTTCAGGTCTGAGCTGTGTAAAATGGGAATGCTGTCACTCACTGTGGTGCTGGTAGGTTCAATTAATATTTGTAGGGCTCGTTGAGATCTTTCACATGAAAGAGCAGCCTATTTTCAGAATATATTGGACAACTCAAACTTTTGGAAAAGCTTTCTTGTCTCTGTCTCTCTCCAGAGAAAGAGAGAGAGAAAAAAATCAAATAAGCAAATCTAAGAGATACAAACAGAAAAGTCTATTATACAAACTGCAGCTAATTGTGCAATCCTTAATGACTGTATGTAGCACTCAGGCCTGGATCCACAAAGGGATTTAGTTGCCTGAATTCTAGTTTTAGGTGCCACGGTGATCCACAAAAGCCTCCTGGCTGCCTGCTAACCCAGCTGATAGGCAGAAAGGATTTGAACAGGGGGCTCCCATCTTTTGGGAGAATTTTCTATCCACTAGGACAGGGGTAGCCAACCCGTGGCTCACGAGCCGCATGCAGCTCTTCAAAGAAAAATTGCGGCTCCCACACCCGCAGCTCTGAGAGGGGCAAAATGTTTCTGTCTGCACGGGACGCTGGTGCAGACATCAAAATGGCCGCCTTCAAAAGGAAATGGCTGCTCTGCTCTTAAAAGGGCTGCAGCTCAACCAAATGCAGCAGCCGGGGCTTTTTTTTTTTCTCAACAACTTTTCCTCCCTCGGCTCTTTGTGCTGTATCCACCACTATTTTGGCTCTTCATCTGTAATGGGTTGGCCACCCCTGTACTAGGATATCCTTAAACCTTTTCTGTTCCAGCTATTCCATTCTAGATAAATCATCATAGGAATAGGAGAACTGGACTGTTCATCTTCTAGCTAATCGCTGAGCTATCCAGTCACTCTCTGGTCCAGTTATACAAACTAAAACAGCCCCACATGATTGACATCCCCACATGAGACCACCCCATTGCCCAGAGATTAAGATACTCTCCAAGAAATGTGGGATGCTCCCATTCAAATCCTTTCTCCACATCTGACAGAAGGAGAATTGAACCTGGGTCTCTCACAGTCCAGGTAAGTGCCCTGGCCGCTTTGTAAAAAGTCACCAGAGAGATAACACTACCATCTCCTCCACCTTCCTGAAAAAAAGGGGGGAGTTAGCACACTAGCTATCTGACTCCAAACTATGATTGTAAGCAAAACACCTATCTCTGAGTGGGGAAGGGTGTATAACTTCTTGTCATCATCTCCCATTGATTACTTTTGTGGATCCCTTTCTTAGGCAGCTATCTCTATAAGTGTTAGAACTAAGGGTGCAGGAGGTACCATTGTACCTCCCACCCCAGCTTGAAGTGGTTTGCATTATATATGAAGTACACAGTTTGGCTCTCAGCATTCTTACTATACCAATTCCCACCTATCTCCTTCATTCATTGTATAGGAAGCAAGGCTCCTAACTCAGTCTGTGCCAATTATTTTCTAGGTGCCAAAAAGTTAGGTGTTGCAATACCAACCTTTGCAACATGGAAGTCCCTTGGAGAATGTGGTCTCAAACTATGGTCGGTGTTGTGTAGAAGCATGTCAAACTGTCTGGAGAGGATCAGGAATGCAAGTACCAAACTCAGGACAGACTGTTGCAAACGAGGACACAACCTTATATACTATACTTAAATGTCATCAAATTAGCCTCAAGTGTGAACTCTTCAAGCACCATAACAGCCTTAGCATGGAGTCACAGATGGTCCCTTTGGGTACTCCAGTGTACCTTGTCATCAAGGTAAGCTTGCCTATGTGATAAATGGTTTCTTACACTAAAAATCACACCAATATTCAGTTTCAGAAGGGTAGCCGTGTGTGTCTGTAGCTCTGAAAATAACGAGTAGTCCCGTGGCATCTTAGAATCTAACAAAAATATATGTATAGCATTGTGAGCTTCTGTGGGCACAGCCCACTTCTTCAGATGAGCTTAAGACAAGAAGTGGGTTGTGCTTACAAGAGCTCATGATACTATATATATTTTTGTTAGTCTCTAAGGTGCCACAGGACTACTCATTGTTTTTAAAGAATATCCAGGTTATTCATAGTCCCAAAGGATTGGTCACTTGCCCGGGTTCTATTGGTCCCTAGACCTTACACAAAAGACATAACTGGTCACCAGTCCTATAATAAACTAAGAAGATAGTCCTATAATAAACTAAGAAGAAATGAATATTTACAAGATTAAAGCAAGTAAACATATACACACCCAAATGAGTTACAGACTTTCAAAAGGTGACAGAAACTGCTGTAATGTGCAATCTCTATGGGTATGTCTAGATAGTGGGGCTATTTTGGGATATCAGAGGTATCCCAGAATAGCTACTCCATGTCTTTTAAATGCGCCCGTTATTTTGAAATATTTTTCGAAATAACAGGCATGCTATTCCAGCATCTCTGTAACCCTCATTCCACGAGGGTTAAGGGATGTCTCAAAATAGCACGTTATTTCAAAATTTGGTGCTGTGTAGATGTGCGAAATTTCAGAATAAACTATTTTAAACAAAAATATAGAAATACAATTGAAATAAGATACGCAATTTGTGTAGAGCAAATTGCGTATCTTATTTTGAGTTTAGGGTGCTGTGTAGATGCACCTTAAATGTCCTCTAGGGCAAAGCACTGGAGAATCTCTTGCTTATACTTAGAAATCTTACCCTTTTAAAATACAAAGAGAATAGAGACCCTGTTTCTTTTGGACATGGATTTTTATTCCTTCCTCCAGAGTTCAAGCTAATAGGACAAGTCCTCATCCATGTCTCCTTCCTGAGTGCAGAGGGCAGTCAACAAAGTCTTTGTCCTTTGTTTCCCAGTGACTCATTTGCTTTCAAAGGGCCTTTTTGTGTTCAGGACCCAACACCTTGTGCAGGAAGCCAGCCTTTGCATTAATTAATGCTTCTTTCCTGTTAGTGTTACTCAGTTATAGATGTTTACAATGCAAACATTTAATATATGTACCCTATATTAAGGTTGTATATACATGTGATTAATATATGCAACATCATATGAGCATTTCCTAAAGTTTAATACATTTTTATAAATATAATACCTAGTTTAATACTAACACACAGGTGAACCGGACTGGCTTCCAGCTATGCATTCATCCATGTTCAGATAGTCTAGAGGTTTTGGCATGAAATGTAACCTGGCCTGCCAGCATCACTTTATTATTCTTTTAAGGGACATGCTGGACCTTACAACCAATCTTGAGTAAAACCAGGTAGCCTCCAATTCTCCTCCTATTGATCCAGAGAAGGACTATTTAAACAGAAAAAGGAAGCAGAGCAGGGGAGAGTAAAGTACTAGCAATGTAGGCTCTGCGAGGAAGCAATGAACCAGGACTCCATGATAAGGGTCTTGTGAATTTTAAAATGGTCCCTACTGGAGATTTTTTTAAGGGGATGTGTTTGCTTTGTTTTTATTTCATTTATGGTTTATTCTTAATCAGATACGTTACAGATGTCTTGGAAAACACCAGCAAGAGCTAAAATACGAAGTTTAATTATGTTTTAACTTTGAAAATATTACTGTTTAAAAGATGCATGTGTGATTTGTGAATATTTTCACTTGTAATTGTCTTGGTAAAAAACAAGGAAAGTTAAATCTTGGTTAAGCAACTGCTTCATGTGACTAACAGCATCTTTTAGCCACTCTCACTACTCTGCAGCCTTAGATGATCTCTGATTAAACCTTTTTCTATTTTAAACTGTGGACAATCATCTACATTGTAATTTTCATCAAGCATTTAGCATGATAAAGAAACATGTAACAAACCTTTGTTCCTGCTGCCTTAGCCTGTCACCATTTCTCAGCACTGTCTTTGAAGTCAGGCATTCTAAACTCCTTGACTAACTAATATGTAATTTTGAGGGGTTTTTAAAAGCAGATATGAAAGATCATTTAAAGTCTTTTTAGTAAGCAGTAAAAGAGCTAAAATGTGCTTGATTCCAAGACAGAAGCACAATCCTTGTCTGAAGAATGAAAGTTGAGTTCTCTGTGAAAGTTGTTTTTAAAGCAGTACTCTAAAGGACAGTAAAGCCCAGGGGATAAAAATAATATACTTTCTTCTGAAAAAAAAAATGCATTTCGTGTTTATATTCATGCTTACATAGTCCTGGTACCCTCTCTTCCCTGAAACATAATTAATGGAACCGAGATCTCACTGCCACAATGTCACAGAATTGTTTATTTCATATGTTTTCAACCTGAAATTTGAAATATTGTAGACAGAGCTGGTAATAGTGCCTACGGTGATTACATTACCCTTCCTATTGTAAAACCCTGTTTCCCATTGGTTATAATTAAAGCTGGTTGATTTTCAGGGAGGCAGAAGGGAATTGTATATATTTTTTCTATTTGGACCAATATACATTTGTCAATGTTGTATTCAGACAGATATTTCAGTTTTCATGCTTAGAAAAATAATATTGGTGGGTGGATAGATGAATATATATACTAAATACAAAAAAGTTAAAAGAACATTATTTAGGTAGAAAACTATAGTATCCAAAAGTTTGCCAGTGCATTTCCTAAGATTTGAATGTTTTGACTTTCCAGTTGGTTGGTTGGTCAGTCAGTCTGTCTGTCTCTCTCTCTCCAGGGTCAATATATTCTCAGATATGTCCTTTTAACTCCTCCTGTTTACCACATTGTCTTACCATTCAGACTTGAACAAAGAACAGCTGGTTGAAGTTTAAACGAGAGACTATATTATAATGACTCAGTTTGAATTTCCTACCTTCTAATTTCACTGCAAGTCTCCTTGTCCTTTTGTTCAGAGACTAGAAGAACAGAAGTTCTTTAGCTGTCTTCACTATGTTATTCGTGGTTCTATAGACTTTCAGCATAACTCATTTATTCTCTTCTATTTGAATGTAAACAGTCCCAATCTTTTCAACTTCTCTTCCTGAGAGTTTTTCTAGGCCGTTGATCAACCTTGTCACTGTCTTCTGAAGTGGCTCTAATTTTGCAATATTTGTTTAGATAAGGGGATCAGTTCTGCATACCATATTCCATATGAGGTCACCATGGATTTAAATAAAAGCATAATATTCTCCATATTCCCCATTCCATTCCTTATACAAGCTAACATCTTATTTCCTTTTTCTTTTTTCTTTTTCTTTTTATTGCAGCTATACACTAAGCAGAGGTTTTGTCCAACTGTCTACAATGAAATCCAGGTCTACTTCTTGAATTGTTGGTTAATTAGAACCCTTTAAGGCATACTAATTTAAATATTTCTCTCCATTACCACATTGCTTTCTATTTATCAAGATATGTCTAATTTTATAAGAAGCATCCACCCATAGGCTACGTCTACACTGACCACAATTTCCGGAAAAGGGATGCAAATCAGGTAAGTCAGGATAGGGAAATCCGCGGGGGATTTAAATATCCCCCGCGGATTTAAATAAACATGTCCGCCGCAGGTAGGAATAAGAGATCCTCCGGAAAAGGGCTTTATTCCGGAGGATCGCGCCAGTCTAGATGCTTTTTTTCCAGCTATTCCCCAAGCCGGAAAAAAAGCGGCGGACATGTTTATTTAAATCCGCAGGGGATATTTAAATCCCCCGCGGATTTCCCTATCCTGACTTACCTGATTTGCATCCCTTTTCCGGAAATTGTGGTCAGTGTAGACGTAGCCTATGGGTGGATGCTTCTTATAAAATTAGACATATCTTGATAAATAGAAAGCAATGTGGTAATGGAGAGAAATATTTAGTGTGATTAGGAGACTCACTCAGAAAAAAATATTTTCAAATTCCATTAAATCACACCAAGTGTAAGTTAAAATTGACTGCATTTCAATATGGACAATATGGACAGGTGCATCCTGGAGGTGAATGCTTGGCTGCGAAGATGGTGTCGCCAGGAGGGCTTTGGCTTCCTTGACCATGGGATGCTATTCCAAAAAGGACTGCTAAGCAGGGATGGTGTTCACCTTTTGAGGAGGAGGAAGACCCTATTTGGACACAGAATGGCTAACCTAGAGAGGAGGGCTTTAAACTAGGTTCGACGAGGACAGGAGAGCAAAGCCCACAGGTAAGTGGAGAACATGGAGACCTGGGAGATGGGTCAGAAATGGGAGGGAGCGTGGGCTACAATGGCAATGAGAAAGGAGGGTCAGGGCACAACTGGGAGGCAAGGTCAAATCAGGATCTTAGATGCCTATATACAAATGCGAGGAGTATGGGAAATAAGCAGGATGAACTGGAAGTGCTAATAAATAAGTACAATTATGACATTGTTGGCATCACAGAAACTTGGTGGGATAATACACATGATTAGAATGTTTGTATAGAAAGGTACAGCTTGCTCAGGAAGGATAGACAGGGAAAAAAAGGGAGGAGGTGTTGCCTTATATATTAAAAATGAACACACTTGGAGTGAGGTGGAGGTGGGCATAGAAGACGGAAATGTTGAGAGTCTCTGGGTTAGGCTAAAAGGAATTAAAAACAAAGGTGATGTCATGCTAGGAGTCTACTACAGGCCACCTACCCAGGTAGAAGAAGTAGATGCGGCTTTTTTTAAATAACTAACAAAATCATCAAAAGCTCAAGATTTGGTGGTGATGTGGGACTTCAACTATCCAGATATATGTTGGGAAAATAACACAGTGGGGCACAGGCTATCCAATAAGTTCTTGGACTGCATTGGAGACAACTTTGATAGAGGAGGTATCTGAGCCTCTAGCTATCATCTTTGGAAAATCATGGGAGACAGGAGAGATTCCAGAGGACTGGAAAAGGGCAAATATAGTGCCCATCTATGAAAAGGGAAATAAGAACAACCCAAGAAACTACAGACCAGTTAGTTTAACTTCTGTGCCAGGGAAGATAATGGAGCAAGTAATTAAGGAAATCATCTGTAAACACTTGGAAAGTGGCAAGGTGATAGGGAACAGCCAGCATGGATTTGTAAAGAACAAATCATGTCAGACCAATCTGATAGCTTTCTTTGATAGAATAACGAGTCTTGTGGATAAGGGAGAAGTGGTGGATGTGGTATACTTGGACTTTAGTAAGGCGTTTGATACGGTCTCACATGATATTCTTGTCAATAAACTAGGTAACTACAACTTAGACGAGGCTACTATGAGGTGGGCGCATAACTAGCTGGATAACCGTATTCAGAGAGTAGTTATTAATGGTTCGCTATCCTGCTAGAAAGGCGTAACAAGTGGGGTTCCGCAAGGGTCTGTTTTGGGACCGGCTCTGTTCAATATCTTCATCAACGATGTAGATATTGGTATAGAAAGTACACTTATTAAGTTTGCAGATGATACCAAGCTGGGAGGGGTTGTGACTAATCTGGAGGATAGGGCCATAATTCAAAATGACCTGGACAAATTGGAGAAATGGTCTGAGGTAAATATGATGAAGTTTAAGAAAGATAAATGCAAAGTGCTCCACTTAGGAAGGAACAATCAGTTTCACACATACAGAATGGGAAGCGACTGTCTGGGAAGGAGTACAACAGAAAGGGATCTAGGGGTCATAGTCGACCACAAGCTGAACATGAGTCAGCAGTGTGATGCTGTTTCAAAGAAAGCAAACATGATTCTGAGATGCATTAACAGGTGTGTTGTGAGCAATACATGATAAGTCATTCTTCCGCTCTACTCTGCGCTGGTTAGGCCTCAATTGGAGTATTGTGTTCAGTTCTGGGCATCGCATTTCAAGAAAGATGTGGAGAAATTGGAGAGGGTCCAGAGAAGAGCAACAAGAATGATTAAAGGTCTAGAGAACATGACCTATGAAGGAAGGCTGAAGGAATTGGGTTTGTTTAGTTTAGAAAAGAGAAGATTGAGGGGGGACATGATAGCAGTTTTCAGATATCTAAAAGGGTGTCATAAGGAGGAGGGAGAAAACTTGTTCATCTTGGCCTCTGAGGGTAGAACAAGAAGCAATGGGCTTAAACTGCAGCAACGGAGGTTTAGGTTGGACATTAGGAAAAAGTTCCTAATTGTCAGGATAGTCAAACACTGGAATAAATTGCCCAGGGAGGTTGTGGAATCTCCATCTGTGGAGATATTTAAGAGTAGGTTAGATAAATGTCTATCAGGGATGGTCTAAACAGTATTTGGTCCTGTCATGAGTGCAGAGGACTGTACTCGATGACCTCTCGAGGTCCCTTCCAGTGCTAGTATTCTATGATTCTATGATAAGGGCGCTTTTTCCGGAGGATCGGGGCCAGTGTAGATGCTCTTTTCCGGCTTTTTTAAAAGCCAGAAAAAAGCGGCGGACATTTTTATTTAAATGCCGCGGGGGATATTTAAATCCCCCGCAGATTTCCCTACGACGACTCATGAAATTTACATGCCCCTTCCGGAAAAGGGGCCAGTGTAGACGTAGCCCTCTGGTATTGATATTTTTCTGAATATTTTTGTTGCTATAGTTTTCCATGTTCAGGGATTTGCAGTCAAAAGGGACACCAGTGGCTACAAACTGGGCAGCAATGCTTGTTAGGACATGTGGGCAGAGTTATTAAATAGCTCTTCTTTCATAAGAGAGAGACCAAAGAAAAGTGAAGATCTAGTGGGTGAAGTGTTGATTGAAAAATTAGAACATTTTTTGTGGGGAGAGATGGTAGAATCTTGTTTCTCTGTCAGATTTTTAAAATTGATATTTTTAACCGGCTCATTAAAAATGAGTAGAATTTTTAGTGAAAGTTTTCACAAAAACTGTCCAATACAAAGTAAAACATTAGAAAGAATTTAACCATCTCTAACTGTGGGAAATCTATTCCTGAATGCAATAAGGCATGCTATTAGGTCTCAGCTAGAAAAGAACTTAGGAAAGATATGGAAGAACCTAGGAAAGGATCTAGAAGAACAATGAAAAGGCTTGAGAGAGTCAACCCAAAACATCATGCCTTTCCTCAAAGTACTAAAACAAAGACTAAAGTTGAGGAAACTCAGAGGTAAAGGATTGCTTGCTAGCCATGGTGTGTGTGTGTGTGTGTAATTGTGTGTTGTAATTGTGTGTGTGTGTGTGTGTGTGTGTGTGTGTGTGTGTGTGTGTGTGTGTGTGACATTTTTTGACTTACTAGACTCCTTGTTTGTTTGAATCTTATTAACCCTAGAAAGAAGGAAATATGAGGTTTGGCTGAGGTGTGAACTACATATACATTGAGAGGAAACTGAGGGAGAAGTAATGCCATCAGGTAGAGAAATGAATCATGACTAAAGCCAGTGCTTTTTTGGAAACAAAAAAGGTGCCAGAATTAGAGTAAAAAAAGGGGGGAAGGGGCGGGAAAAACTTGTTGAGCAAAAAAACAGAAACAAAAAATGCCCGAAAGTTGGGGCCAAAATGCAGTGTGGTTGCAGCCCCTTTAATTACTGCATACCATCACAAAAAAAGCACTGACTAAAGCAATATACGTCAAAGTTTATCCCCCCACTCACAAATACCGACTACAAAACTCTATTAAAATAAGCATGATATCTTCGAGGAGCAAGGATAGGATGGACCAGTGGTGACTATGGTGGGTGATTAAGTTTAGAAGCTAAATAAAGAACAAACATATATATTTTAATCCATGAATCAAAAGTAAGGAAAAAAGCTACTGTATGTGTCTGAGTGCTACTGCCAGTCTGCTGGTGGGGGGGAACTTTCTGAGAAGTTTATATAATATTTTCTTATCAGTGGTGTATAAATTATACAGGCAGTCCCCTAGTTACGCGGATCCGACTTATGTCGGATCCGCACTTACGAACGGCGATTTCTCGCCCCGGAGCTCGCAGGAGCAGGACCGCCCAGAGCGCAGCGGTCCCGCCACCTCGACCTCCGGGGCGAGAAAAGCTGCTCCGGGTGCCCCTGGTCTGCTGGGGACCGTCTCCAGCAGACCAGGGACACCTGGAGCAAAGCCGGGGAGGCAGAGGGGTCCCGCGCCTCTGAGGCTTTGCTCTGGCAAAGCCGGGGAGGCGCGGGACTCCGCCGCCGCTGCGGCTTTGCTCCCGATGTCCCTGGTCTGCTGGAGACGGTCCCCAGCGAGGGGACGCAACTAGTGCGGCCCCCCCCAGCAGACCAGGCTTTTGTTGTGGACCCTGGGGTAGAGCAGCTGGGGTGCTGCCGGGTTGGTCCTGCGGGGACCTACCTGGCAGCCCATCTGTTCTGTCCCAGGCTTGAGATTCAGCCGCTGTTGAAACTGATCAGTGGCTGATTCCAGGAAGCTGGGGGCAGAGCAAATTCAACTTAAGAACAAACCTATAGTCCCTATCTTGTATGTAACCCGGGGACTGCCTGTACTATTATAAATACTGGGGGTGAAGCAGTGCTTAGAGGTGGA